GCGGACGGCGCGGGCGCACGTGGAGGAGGTGCGGCGCCGGCGGCAGTAGCTGACGTCGGAGCAGCGCCTCAACCCCATCTATGCAGCAGACTCTCCCGATTGGGAGGTCTGGTTCACCCTCGAGCACGAGGAGCAGCGCCCCGCTCGGTGTCCAGCACGTGCGGGCTGGCACCCGCCGCCCCTCGTCGTCCGCGACGAGGACCAGGAGGAGGAGGCCGCCTACCAGGCAGTGCTGGCGGTTGCCCTTCATGAAAGCAAAGAGGAAGAGCGGCGCAAGGCGAAGGAGGATGAGGCAGCATACCAGTCGCGCATGTCGGAGGCCATCGTGCTCTCCGCTTCTGACGAGTGCGTCGTGCCGTCGTCCCCTGTCAAGCCCGAGCCAGCGCCGACCCTCGTCAAGCCCGAGCAGTACAAATGGGACGGAGTGGTGCACGAGTGGGTCAGCACGCCACCCGTCTGGCTTGGGGCGACGCCGGCGCAGGAGAAACTCTACGTCGAGCACTGGCGGCAACGCTGGCTGGCGGGGGAGCGCCACGAGGGCGAGCACCTCGAGCAGTGGCAGCACGAGGCGGAGGAGGAGGAGCGCCTGCCCGTGCTGCCCAACCGGTAGCGGTCAACCCGGCACCGGAGGACGTCGCCATAGCCTGGGAGACGGCGTTCTCCTGGGCTGGCCCGGCGCCAACGCTCGTCGACCTCACCAGCCCCGACGCTGATGACGATGCCTAGGGCAGCACGTATCCTCCTCGTTTTTAGTTTTATTAAATGTGTTTAATAACTAATGTAATGCGGACTCTTGGACCCTAGCCGGCCCCAAAATTAACATTTTTAATTTCAAAATATTTGTGTTATTTATTTTCTCGTGCGCGAACTCAAAAATGGGTCAGGCCAAGCGTTGGGTGCAAACGCCGATCCAAACACGAAAGCGGGATATAGGTGTGCTGGGCCAATTCAAACTGACAAAATCGGCGTCCAAGCCGGTTGGAGTTGCTCTTGCTTGCTCTCCCGGGAGGAATTTTTAGAGGACGGCTTCCACGGTCTGACTTGGATTGGATGGTTATTCCCGCGCGAAGAATCAACTCCCTGTTTCCACTACGGGTCGCCGACCTCCCCGGCCTCCAGACCAAGCATCTCCAAGCGATAAGGGCGCGATCACGCCGGCCAACCATCGCGCGCCACCTGTTCCCGTCCCGTCGCCGTCGCATCCCCAACCAGCCGCGTAACGACGCCGGCCTAATTTTTCCTACGACAACGACGACCACGTTACGGCCTCCTTTTTCTTCCCCGGAGCTTTCACGGCGCGTCGGGACGACGGGAACGCAGCGCGGGCACCGCCGCGCAGCACCGGACCCGGATAAGGCATGCGCTCGGTGGCACTGGCGAACAAACATGGCCCTGGCCCGCCGGGACAGCGACTTCCATGGCCCCGAGGGCGTCCACGTCCCCCGCTCGCCTCAAAACCCCGCGCGCCCCGGCCCGCACTCCGCCCTCCTCAGAAGCTCAAAGCCAACGGCCGAGAGGAAAAGCTTGGCTGAGAATCGCCTGGTCACTGCAGCCAGTCACGGTGGTGGCGCTGGTGCTAACTGGGCTTGTCGGACTGTGAGCGAGCAGTGAGCGCGTGCCATGGAGGGGGAGGAGAAGCCGGTGGTGGGCGGGGCCTACTGGGGCGTGAGCGCGAGGGCGTGCGACTCCTGCGCCACCGAGGCGGCCAGGCTCTTTTGCCGCGCCGACGCCGCGTTCCTCTGCGCCGGCTGCGACGCGCGCGCGCACGGCGCCAGGTCGCGCCACGCCCGGGTCTGGCTCTGCGAGGTCTGCGAGCACGCGCCCGCGGCCGTCACGTGCAAGGCCGACGCCGCCGTGCTCTGCGCCTCCTGCGACGCCGACATCCACGCCGCCAACCCGCTCGCGCGCCGGCACGAGCGCGTCCCCGTTGCGCCCTTCTTCGGCGCGGCCGCCGACGCGCACAAGCCTTTCGTGTCGTCGGGAGCCCAGGCCGCTGCCGAGGACGACGGGAGCAACGACGCCGAGGCGGCGTCGTGGCTGCTCCCCGAGCCCGATCACAAGGATGGCGCCAACGGTGCTACCGCCGACGTGTTCTTCGCGGATTCCGACCATTACCTCGACCTCGACTTCGCGCGGTCAATGGACGACATCAAGGCCATCAGCGTGCAGCTCAACGGCCAGCCCGAGATCGACCTCAACGGCGGCAACAAAGGCTTCTACTCCGACCACTCCATGAACCACAGCGTAAGGATCATTTCCAGTCTATGCACGAGCAAGGCCAAGGTGGAGCTGCCAGCGTTCTGACTTCTGATGGACATCTTGCTTGGTGACGGGACGCATGCAGGTATCCTCCTCTGAGGCGGCGGTGGTCCCGGACGCGGCGGCGGCGCCGGTGGTGAGCCGCGGGAGGGAGCGGGAGGCGCGGCTGATGCGTTACAGGGAGAAGCGCAAGAGCCGGCGGTTCGAGAAGACCATCCGGTACGCGTCCCGCAAGGCGTACGCCGAGACGCGGCCGCGCGTCAAGGGCCGGTTCGCCAAGCGCACCGGCACGGCGGACGCCGACGCCCTGGAGGAGCACGAGGAGATGTACTCCTCGGCCGCGGCCGCCGTCGCCGCGCTCATGGCGCCAGGCCCCGACCACGACTACGGCGTGGACGGCGTGGTGCCGACCTTGGTGTGATCGATCGGTCGCCGGCGCGTCCTTCCGGGCTGTAATTTTGTTGCATGCATGCACGCACGCACAGCTTCGTCTAGCATTTGATCACTCATCAATTGTATATTCATGATTACGCGGGAGCGATCCAGACTTCCGATCCAACCCCCTCCTTAATTTTGCCCGATCCATGTAATTTTTCACCTGTAGCATATCATCATCATCACGAGCTGGCTAATCTGCAACTACTCTACTCCACTTTTACTAATCCACTTGCTGCTATCGCTCGCATTACTGCTGCTTTAGGGCAGAACTTTCATGCCATTTTGCTATCACTGCAATCAACTTGCCTGTCACTTTGCTGCTGTCTTTGTTGCTGAAATTTGACGATCAGAAGAGATCCTGGTCTTTCTTTAATATACGCGGTGGTATATCTTTCGCCATTCCGCCACTGGTTAAGCTCTGAGATCTCGAATGGAAATGTCCGATGGCTGACATGCTTCCTTTGCCGAGTGCGTGATGGTGCAATCTTTCTCTCTCACGGGCTCAGGGCCTGGCCACCGTTGGTTGGCTGGCTAGCTTTAGCCGTGGAGCAAATGCGACAGTACCTCCTATAATGCTTTGGGAACCATCTTTTTCCAGTGGTGAGATTCGATGTTTTTCCCTTTCCACCGGTCAACCACAGGACAACAATTGTCACATCCGAGTTGCGCTATAGACTAGGATTTTGCTAGAGCATATTTTGAATTTTTATCACTAAGAACTTTAGCAAAATTGTCTCCCTCTTCCCTGTAAGAGCATCTACAGCCAGACTTCGCAAATTCGGCCCGTCAAAAGCCCGCGGGCGCATCCGGATGGCCCCTCATATTTTCTTCCGTGCATCCACATATCTCAAATCCGGACTCTCAAATCCATGCAAATACACGCATGTCGATCATGCAACACAATGTCACACGTAAACAACAATTTTTGATATCAAGCACAGATAGTGTTTACATAAAATTTATTTGAAGTGCCAAACTCAAGCATTGCCTCCTTGGTTGCCATTGTGGATCCACATGTGCTCCATAAGATCATTGAGTAGCTGCGTGTGCACCTGCTGATCTCGAAGATTGTGATGCATCTGCAGAAAGTTCATAAGCTGAGTCGGAGAGTTGCCGGACGTACCACGGTGGCATCCGGCGACGACGTCCCCCGCGGCGAGGACGGGAGCGCTCTTCCGGAGCTGGCGGCGGAGAACCTCGGAGCGGCTGCGGAGCGGGCGCGGCGGCCGAGTGCGAGACGGACGACGCGGAGGAGGAAGAAGAGAGGAGATAGCAAATGAATCTGGTTAGTCTTCGGAGTGGATTTGGTGCAATTTGGGGTGGGGTCGGGCTGTCAGGTCCGATGTGGCGGGTGTGTCCGGACGTCCCTATATTCGCACCATATTTGGACTGGATATAGGCGGTGCCGATCAGCCCGGGCGTTTGACGGCCATTTGAGAGGCTCATCTGGGTTAAAAAATCGTGACCGGGTGACCCGCCTTGATATATAAGACAGGTTTAAGAGGTCCGGTTGCAGATGCTCTAATCATAAGCTTCACTTCACGAATCAGGTGTAGAAGGTATCACAATCCATTTCTACACGAGAAACATGGCAACGGTATGCTTGGTTCGGCCACTCAAGCCCAACCTTATATTTAGAACCATCCCTCCGTATCAAAATCAAAATATGAAGTGTCAAAAGACATCTTGTATTTTGATACAGAGGTAATAGATGATATCCTGCACGTTGCGGCAGGGATTGGTTACAATATTTTTCGATGAAATTTAAATAAAAAAATAGATGTAATATATTATATTTAATCATTATATAGTTGTATATATATAATAGAATTAGTATTTTCCCATGCGTGTTGTGAGAAATATAATTAGTGTGATTCATGAGGTGGCATGTGTGTATGTTGAGAGAATTGAGATAGTGAGGACCAGGGACAAATTATTTAGGTATATAGGATACATTAGCACTTTTTTTATTATTTTTGAGAAAGAGGGGTCAACCCCTCTGTTTTCTTAGACAAAAGACTAAGTCCAGTCTTAAGAAAAGGCTCAGCCTAGTTCAATTTTGAATTATCAAAGACACGCAAAAACTTACAGGGACAACACAAACACAGAAAATATAAAAGAAGAATGAAAACAAAGATACAAAGTTCTAAGCAGAACAACTTAACGGCAATGGCAATAGCGAGCAAGAGCACACAACACCATTAACATCGATCACCGCCCACAACAACTAACCAACTAAGGCCATGGAGGAGGGCACCAATTGTTTTGGCCAACCCCTCTGGTTTCATTTAAAGAAACCACGGTCTTTCTAGATATAAACTACAATATGGGTAGAAACTGGAACGAAGATCACCAGCTAGACGAAGTCTAGACATCCAATGCAAGGCACAACCAGGCCGTCAGTAAACTCTAGATAGTCCATCATAAGTAACTGTTGATAATATGCCCTAGAGGCAATAATAAATAGTTATTATTATATTTCCTTGTTCATGATAATTGTCTATTGTTCATGCTATAATTGTATTAACCGGAAACCGTAATACATGTGTGAATACATAGACCACAACATGTCCCTAGTGAGCCTCTAGTTGACTAGCTCGTTGATCAATAGATGGTTGTGGTTTCCTGACCATAGACATTGGATGTCATTGATAACAGGATCACATCATTGGGAGAATGATGTGATGGACAAGACCCAATCCTAAGCACAACACAAGATCAAGTAGTTCGTTTGCTAGAGCTTTTCTAATGTCAAGTATCTTTTCCTTAGACCATGAGATTGTGCAAGTCCCGGATGCCGTAGGAATGCTTTGGGTCTATCAAATGTCACAACGTAACTGGGTGACTATAAAGGTGCACTATAGGTATCTCCGAAAGTGTCTATTGGGTTGGCACGAATCAAGACTGGGGTTTGTTACTCTGTATGACGGAGAGGTATCTCTGGGCCCACTCGGTAATGCATCATCATAATGAGCTCAATGTGACTAAGGAGTTAGTCACGGGATCATGTGTTACGAAATGAGTAAAGAGACTTGCTGGTAACGAGATTGAACAAGGTATAGGGATACCGACGATCGAATCTCGGGCAAGTAACATACCGATGGACAAAGGGAATTGTATACGGGATTGATTGAATCCCCGACATCGTGGTTCATTCGATGAGATCATCGTGGAACATGTGGGAGCCAATATGGGTATCCAGATCCCGCTATAGGTTATTGGCCGGAGAGATGTCTCGGTCATGTCTGCATGGTTCCCGAACTCGTAGGGTCTACATACTTAAGGTTCGGTGACGCTAGAGTTGTGATGGGAAATTGTATGTGGTTACCGAAAGTTGTTTGGAGTCCCGGATGAGATTCCGGACGCCACGAGGAGTTTCGGAATGGTCCAGAGGTGAAGATTTATATATGGGAAGTCCAGTTTCAGTCGCCGGAAGGTTTCGGGGGTTATCGGTATTGTACCGGGACCATTGAAAGGTGTCCGGGGGTCCACAGGGTGGGGCCACCTACCCCAGGGGACCAAGTGGGCTGAATATGGGTGGAACCAGCCTCCTAGTGGACTGGTGCGCCCCCCAAGGGCCCAAGGCGCCTAGGGTTGGAAACCCTAGGGGGTGGGGGCGCCTCCCACATGCTTGGGGGGGGCAAGTTTCCCCCTCCTGGTCGCCTCGCCCCTCTCATCTAGATGGATCTAGGGGGCCGTGTCGGTGTCAAAACCAGCAGATCTCGGGTAGGGGTCCCAAACTGTGCGTCTGAGGATCGAAGGTAACATGAGACAGGGGACATGATGTTTACCCATGTTCGGGCCCTCTTAATGGAGGTAATACCCTACTTCCTGCTTGATTGACTTTGATGAGTATAGACGTTACAAGAGTTGATCTACCTCGAGATCATAATGGCTAAACCCTAGATGTCCAGCCTGTATGTTTTGTTATGATGATTGCCTCTACGGACTAAACCCTCCGGTTTATATAGACACCGGAGGGGCCTAGGGTTGTACAGAGTCGGTTTACAAAGAAAGAAAACTTCATATCCGAACGCCAAGCTTGCCATCCACGCAAAGGAGAGTCCCATACAGACATGGGATGGGGGGGGGCTTCTATCTTGTATCTTCACATCCCATCAGTCCGGCCCATGTCACATAGCCCGGACGCCCAGGGGCCCCCTAATCCAAGACTCCCTCAGTAGCCCCTGAATCAGGCTTCAATGACGATGTGTCTGGCGCGCAGATTGTCTTGGGCATTGCAAGGCGGGTTCCTCCTCCGAATACTTCAAAGCTGTTGAACAAGAGAACCATATCCAGCTCCGCATAATAGTTACAACCCGGAACCACAAGGGCGAAATACTTAAGCAAAATCAGTCATGTCTACTAACAGCTTTTCCGGCAAGACGTTATGTTCTAGCCTTATTACTATTCAGTACCGTTTTGCGGCCTCCTCCTGCGCGTTTCGAGGCGTGCCTTCCATTGACACAACTTGTCAAAGCAGAGATCGTGTCCCCTTATTGCGGGATTCCCATCAATACGGGTTTGGGTAATCCAACCGTGTCGTTCGCACGACCCCTTGGGAATAGGAGAGTTTTAAGGCTTGTGAGGGGGCGCTTGATATTTACTGCCTTTATAAGAGGATAAAGATCCATCTTTTTACCCCACGCCTTCTTCTTCCTCAACCCTTCCGTCCTTGAGCTCCAGCGCCCAAGTTTCAATCTTTTCCGCCCCCACCAAACACTCGAGCCATGTCCGGATCCGGCACGCAGGGCAAGTGGATGGCTTCCTCCGTTACTGAGAGGAATGTCAAGGAACTCCGGGAAGCGGGCTACTTGGCCATGGACATCGCGCATCGGCTTCCAGCCAAAAAGCAGATCGTCCCTACTCCAGAGCCTAATGAGAGGGTAGTGTTCATCCCCCACTCTCTCTGCGGACTAGGGTTTCCCCTCCATCCTTTCGTCCGCGGCCTCATGTTCTATTATGGGCTAGATTTCCATGATC